ATATCAAAACACATTTTTGGTGTTTTAAGAAAAGTGTTTATTTTTTTGGATTTTGTAAAGGGTCAAGTCAAAAAAACGCTCCGGTTGCCAAACGCGTTTTATTGTTTTTGTTGAAAACAAAAACAGAAACAACAAAAACGCCACGGTTGCCAAACGCAAATTCGGACTTGACCGCTTGATTGTTTATTGTTTAAGGGGCTGTTTGTTTGGCTTAAAAAAAAGAGTGAAATAAAAAAAAGGACAAATTTTTAAAATCAACATTTTTGCCATTTTAAATAGCAAAATCGATCCTATATGAAGTTATTCAGCAAAACCGACCTTTTTTTTCTGAAAAGGGTCGGTTTTGCTGTTGGAGAATTTTTACGAAATACACGGGACTGCTAGTCCCGTGTATTTCGCCCCAGCTTTGAATTGCATGGGACTATCAGTCCCGTGTTTTTTTGAGAAGAGAGCTCCTTCATTATCACCGCAGTCTCTCTCTTCATCTCTTCTCCATCTCTCCCTTCACCAGCTCCTCTCAGTTCTCTCTCTCCCCGAGTTCCGACCCGAGCTCTGCTGCAAGCCTAAGCCTGACGCCAAGCTCCCCCTTCTTCTCCCCCACCCGCCGCCTGCAATAGCGAGCTCCTCCCTCGACTCTGAGCTCCGACCCAACTCCACTCTCCATCAGCACCTCGCCGCTCGCCCTCAGCCCGAGCTTCGCCTCGAGCTCCTCCTCTCCAGACCCATCACCGCCTTCCACCATCGCCACCAGCCCCACTCGTCTTCTCTCCGACCTCCACCCTCTCACGCCACCAGCTCAACCACAGCGCCGCCGATCTCCCCCCAGCTTTCTCCCTAAACTCTCCGCTGCTCAACCCCCTCTTCCCCGAGCTCCGCCTCTAGCCTACTCGCCTCAACCACCCCTCGAGCTGGGTCGAAATTGCTTGGAGAGAGAGAACTAAGAGGAGCTGGTGAAGGGAGAGATGGAGAAGAGATGAAAGAGAGAGACTGCAGTGATAATAGAGGAGAGAGATATGAAGAGGGGAGAGAACGAATGTGACGAGGAGAAGGAGCTCTCTCTGCTAAAAAAAAACACGGGACTGCTAGTCCCGTGCAATTCAAAGCTGGGGCGAAATACACGGGACTAGTAGTCCCGTGTATTTCGCAAAAATTCTCCAACAGCAAAACCGACCTTTTTCAGAAGAAAAGGGTTGGTTTTGCTAAATAATTTCATATAGGGTCGATTTTGCTATTTAAAATGGCAAAAAGGTTGATTTTAAAAATTTGTCCTAAAAAAAAGGAAACCTATTTCTAAGAAAAATAGGTTTTGGGATTGTTTGATTGGCTAAAAAAAAGAAGGAAATTAAAAAATAGGAGATGAGATGATGTTAGTTGTCATCTTATTATTGGATGATGTGAATGACTTTTTAAGAAATGTTGTTTTGAGGTTGTTTGGTTGGCGAAAAAAATAAGGAAATAAATTATAAGAAACATATTTCCTGTAATAGGTTATTTTCTTTTGTTTGGTTCATTCTTAAAAATAAGAAAATAGATGAGATGCATTGTTATTATATTATTGGATGATGTGACCCACACTAAAGGAAATTGTTTTTCTAGTTTTTTGGACGAAATTGATGGAAATGAAATGTTAATGAGATGAGATAAGTTGTCACCATCTTATTGGATGATGTGAGTGATTTGAAATAATGAGATGAGATGAAGATGAGATGAGTTGAGTGATGTTGTGGATGAGTTGTTGGATGAAAATAATATTTTACTGGATGAGTTGTTAAAATAATATTTTATTAGATATTGTGGATGAGTTGTTGGATGAAAATAATATTTTATTGGATGTTGTGAGTGAGTTTTAGGGATAAAAATGGATGAAATTGTACTTTTTGAGATTTCCACCTTTTCATTTCCTTTTCTTGGTTTTTAGGAAACCAACCAAACAGACCCTAAAGCTCAAATGTTGAAATCTATCAGGCATTTCTTGGAGGGGAAGGGCATGTTTTGCAACTTTTAGATTATAATCTATTTTGCTTATAATTCAAGTCCAACAGTGCTATGGTGTTCGCTCACCTAAGATACAATATTCACAAAATGATACGATAAGAGTCCTAGTCAACTCCTATGAGTTCTAGGCATCTTGACTCCTAAGTCGAATATCAAGACATTGACTCTTTATCAAGATAAGCTCAAGGCACAACAGCTCATCAGTCGAGTATTAAACCCTTGGCTCTTTATCAAGGTAAGTCCAAAGCACCACATATAGTCGAATCCTCCAGTACAACTCGACCATCATGGCTAGATTACAAGACCTTGGTACCTTACCAAAGTATAAACCTAAGGCACAATTACAGAGGTCTCGGCCCCACCGACTCATCAAGCCGGCACCCTGGTGTCGACACAAGAGGCGATACTAGCCGATACGCGAGATCCTGACATGCCAGACGAGTCGACATCTTCATATCGACCCGAAAGGCGGTTATTAAGCTAAAGATAAGACGACGTCTCACTCAGTCGGACAGGCCGGCACTCCTAAGTCGACACGAAAGATGCTGCCGATCGACCCTTTTATCAAGGACGATCCTATTTAAGGCACTCGACCACTCACTGGGTATTTCTCAGAAATGACTTAAGAGACGTTCACTGCTGTCGGCTAAGTTGAGGACTCGACCCTGGTCTCAAGCCTCTCCCCTGAGCAAATGTCGATATCTCAGTTCACCTTGAACAAGTCTTATCCAAATATTGGCCTGACAAAGTCTCCATGACTCGTCAGCTCAATCACTTCCCGGAAAAGGCGGAGATACATTCTCCCATAATGAAGTGACTTCCCTCCAGTCGCCAATCGACACCTGTAAAGCAAGGGATGACTCAACATGCCTGCGTGCCTTATGCCATGCCCACAAGTCACTTTCCGGATATTGCGAAGACGTCATCTCCCGTGCTGAAATAACTTCTCTTCCAGTCGCAAGTCGACACTTGTAAAGAGAGAGATGACTCATCTTCCAGCTCACGCTTTGCCACCGTCATTCTGTATGGCCGAAATGACCAATTTACCACAGACATCCATGCTATATATGGATATTATTCACTATTAGAGAAGCCCCCCCCCACCCCCATGAAATCAAGGCAAGAAAATAAATAACAATCTGAGAGAGATGATAATCTCTAATGCACATAGCATAAGAACGCATAGTTCTAAACTCCACTCAAGCTCATGTTTATCTACTGACTTGATCGTCGGAGGAACCACGGGGGAACCGGTCCCCGCCCTCTCACGCGCTATTTCTGTCTGTGCAACGCGGACATCAGACCCACATTTAAGAACTAAGCGTAAAGCTGGAGAAGGGAACGAGCCCTCCATCATCCTTCACCACCCCGCAATAATCCTCTTCTGTATTAATTGGCTGTTTGATATCGAGCATCAACAAACAATATTTGGCAAATGAGTGATTTATAAGTCATTATTATCGTCAAATTGAATAAAATATATTAAATGAAACTAGGGATAAATAGATGAAGCTTAGAATTTTTTGAAATGATAAGAGGTAAGCTGGTATTTTCCATGGTTAAACATTGTTGCTTATAAGCTAAAATAAGTCATTTGCTAAATATGTCAAAGTGACTTGTACACTAAAAAAAAGGCTTGTAAGCTAAAAAATAGCTTATAAGTCGACTTGACGGCTTGCCAAACATGTTTTAACCAGCATTTATTGTTAATGGAATGCTATATCATCTGTTGCGATGGAGTAAATTTTTTTTTCCGCTGTCTTTAGAACAAGTATTTACTCATTTACGTAATTAACTCGTATTCAATCCAATCTTGTTAACTTGGTAAAATCGGTTTGTTGAAGTTATCGAGAAGGTAAGCTTCACTCCTTTCTTGGTTGTACATTGGTTGTAATGATGGACGTAATGATGTACCGTTTGATTCGTCAACAACCGTTGCTTTAATCTTTCCTGTGCGCAACCAAACGAGCGGCGCATTCATAAAATGCTTGTACCAAAACTTTTAGGCCTTCAGTTACGGACGCAGTAACTTGACGTTTTTTGGATAAAAAAAAAACCTACGGGAGTGATCATGGATGAACTTGTCAAACTGACCATAGCCCTTCCAAATTCTCTGTTGATGGCCTTCTTATCATGACTAGGCAAAGAAAAATTCCACAGTGACCAAAAATATGAGGCCAATATGAGGGGCATGTGAGATTTTACCATACTATTACATAATAAATTGACCATCATTAATGATGATCAGCTCATTATACAATAGGAGGGGGACACTTCATCTGTCCTCCATGTTAGTCCCATATATTGGGTCACTGTAGCAAATCTCTTAGGTAAATAGCTAGAAGTGGATTATTCAATTTGTAATAGAATAATATATATGTTTCTCTTGGATTGAAAAGATGCAAATTTATCAACATCATAAAAATAGTCATTCAATGTGATGCTTAGTTGAATTTTCATTTATTTTAATATTAATAAAAGTAAGATATATTCGAGAAGGATTAAAGAAAAAAGACTGACATATATAGCAAATCCGGCTTCTTATTTTTTTTTTTGACGTGGTAGGGTTTTCTCAATCTATTTATGTGAAATAAATTGAAAAAATTGAAAGGGATTGAAACTTTTAATCTACATGGTAGAAGTGTCAGGTCATGGAAACCTACTTTCTAAGTTTCTTTGGGCAAACCGAAGATCCTTATTTGGTACGTGGGAATGAGTGGGAATAAAACGCTCATTCCCATTTCCCATTCATGTGCATCAAAATACTATATTTTTGGAAGCTAGAATGCTTATTCACACTTCCCTTTTATTCCCACCTTTTATGAGACGAAACATTCCCAATCACTTGGTAGGAAATGGACATTCTCACTTAAGTGGGAAAGAAACAACTTAATTAAAATAACAAATTTGTCTATTGCTCGACAACTGTCAATAAAAAAAATTCATTCCTTATTCATTCTCTAGTTACACCCAAATATAAGAACGAAAATGAGTATTTTATGTTATTTTTTATTTTATTTCATTCTCACTTGATGTAATTACAGAGTGGCCAGTGATGCGTCAAAGTCTTATATGCCTTCCGCGTTTTCTCTCTGTAATCTCTCGCCAAGTCCTGAGCCCAATCCCAGCCTACACGAAAACGAGTTTGGGCCTGACTCGATTTACCGTGATGTCTGAGTCCAGCCCGTCAACAGATCGATCTACAGTCTCTTTTCACGAGCTCCCTTCTTTGTTCCACCAACCACCGCACTTCTACTTCCCCACCATTCCCTCTCCTATTCCTTCGGCATGAACACCAAAAAAACTAATTAATTGAGGAAAAAAAAACCAAATCGAAAATGATTCATCATCATCTTCATCATCTTCATCTCCTCTCTCCTCGCTCTCGTAACGAGACATGAAGCGGAGAAAGAGAACCAGAGACATCTCCTCCCCTCCCTCCCCCTCCCCCATGAACAAAGCCCCGACGTCAAGGGACGCCCTCTACGACCTCTTCCTCCTCCTCCTCCTCTGCTTCCTCATTCTCTTCTGCTCCCCTTTTGTCCACGGAAATCGAGGTACCCTCTCCGATTCTTTTTTTTATTCATTCGATTCTCATTATAATCTAATTTCGAAACGACCCATTTGATTTTTAGCTTGTGCGCTGTTACGTTTTACTCAGATTCACGCAGTTTTAGCAACACAACTGACCGCCGTCTGAGAGAGACGTTGTTAGAATCTTTCCTCCCATCTGCCATCAGCAAGAATTACTCCTCCGTTTGCGACGTTAGGTATTCTGGGGATAGAGTTAAGAATCAGGCGGAGGAGCTGAAAAAGAACGAGACTTCCTCTCGCCCCGCGGCGTACGTTGGGCTCGACGAGATTAGGAACAAGACGATGCAGACGAAGAGGAGCAATGCGCACGAAGTGCTCGGGAAAATTACCCCCAGACTCGAGCCTGGAGGAAAGGAGTATAATTACGCCTCTGCCTCGAAGGGCGCCAAGGTTCTGGCGCATAATAAGGAGGCGAAAGGGGCGGGGAATATATTGGAGAAAGACGAGGACAAGTATCTGAGAAACCCTTGTTCAGTCGGGAAGTTTGTAGCCATTGAGCTCTCTGAGGAAACCCTTGTTGATTCTATTAGCATTGCCAATTTGGAGCATTACTCGTCGAACTTCAAGGATTTTGTGCTATTGGGCAGCTTGAGGTACCCGACCGAGACATGGATTCCCCTCGGGAATTTCACTGCTGAAAATGTGAAACATGCACAGAGGTTTACCCTTTTGGAGCCCCAGTGGGTGAGATACATGAGACTCAACTTTGTCAGCCATTATGGGTCAGAGTTCTATTGCACATTGAGCTTTCTAGAGGTCTACGGTGTCGATGCCATTGAGAAAATGCTCGAGGATTTTATAGCTGTACCTGATGAACCAGCTAAAGATCAGATTGTTTCATCGAAACCAGAGGTGAATTCTAGCATTAAAGGAGATATAGTTCAAGGAATTGATGAGGTTGATGTTCCTCTAAAAGGATTAGATGCCAGTCATGTCAAAAATGATACCCCAAAGAGCAGTGCACCAAATCATAAGAAAGACTCAAGGCAGCAGGTAGCAGGAAGAGTACCAAGTGATGCTGTTTTAAAGATTTTGATGCAAAAGTTGAGTTCTTTGGAGCTGAGCCTCTCTGTTTTAGAGGAGTTCACCAAGGAACTTGATCGAAGATACGGCGGTGCTGTCCCAGATCTTCAGAAGGAGGTTTCTCAGAAGACAGTATTACTAGAGAAGATTGGATCTGAAATTAAGGATCTAGTGGTGTCTAAAAAGGTTTTGGTATGTAAAATTTCATGTTAGTTATAACGCCTTATACATAATTCTTGGTTCAATACTTCTATTAGCTTATTGACAAGAATTCATGCTCGTGTCCTTTTAGGAAGAGGAACTTATCGAGCTTAAGCATTGGAAATCGACTTTTTCAGATCAAGTTGATGCGTTGGTCAAAGACAGTGCCAATGTCAGGTTAGTAAGAGGTTTTCTGCGGCATGCTTTTTTTTATTGAGTTGGAACTTACTATCTTGCATAACCTTCCAAACTTGAAAGCTAGGCTTTTTTATGAAGGAAAAAAACCATGATAGTATATCATTATTATAGAATTAGCTTCTTCTTTGTTTCACACTTCATAGGGAATCACTCGTTTGGTTTGAGGCATCAATATGTAGTTGTAAGTTTATCGTATTGCTTCATCTGTTTTAGGCCCTTATGACTATTGATGCTTTGCAAAGACTTTCAAAATTTTGAGTAAGATACTTGCAAACAATTCGTTGAAATTTTTATATCAACTACAAGGTATTCATGTTGCTGCTGATTACTAATAATTGACTCATTTTTACCAGGCAGCATTACTTTTTCTTGCAATGTCGTATGATTGTCCAGTTTGAAAATAAGTTGTGTAAACAAATGAGGAAGCCTCATCTATAGTCTATACTATAGATCAATCAGCTAAATAAGAGAGAACTATTTATGGTTGTATGTTACTATGTTGTTGAGGTCAATAGTTTGCTTCTCTTAAACCAACGCACAAGTACTGCTGAACAATAGGCAGATATAACTGAAGTGAACAATAGGCAGATATTTTTTAGCTACTGAACGTCCTTTTTTTTGCTTGTTTTCTTTCTTGTTAGCGTGGGATGGTCACTGGTTGATTCCTATCCTTCCAAGAACTGTAAAGGGAGAGGAACTGAAACCTAAGAAAGAGGAGTGTTGTTTTTCATCTTTACTTTACCTTGCTTTGTGAATATCTCACAAAGCTAAGGATAACCAACATGGTAGTTTTTATGAGTTTTTGTTATTTGTAGAGAAACAACTGGAATTAAAGACTTTAATAGAAC